TGACACCCCGGGAGCGGGGTCTGCAACGTGGGGGGCTCGGGGCAAAAGGGTTCTGCGGGGTGAGGACGGGAAAATGCTGGAGAGCCCCAGGGGAGCCCCCCCGGCAGCTAGGCACGGTTCCCCCCTCCAGGGTGAGGCAGCCCCGCGGACACTGCGGGCAGCTGCGGGAACAGCAGGTAACATAGGAGTACTGGGAAATTCCCAGTAACGGTAAGTTCCCAACCTCAGAAGTGAGGTGGGTGCTAAGGGCTGCTGGAGGGTGGTTTCGTTCCCCTCCACAGCCCCCGGTGACACCGCGGGGGCTCAGAGCTGCTCGCACCTGCAGCATCCCGCCACGGCTCTCACAAGGTAAAGGCTTGTTTTCGTAATGCGGTCCTGCAGGGATGTGTCACACTGCAAATGGGGCCCTTGCATGAAATCCCCTAAACCGGGGTTAATCTTGCACTGCTAGATCTCAGCGTGGCTTTCTAACTCTTTGGTCATGTAGTCTCTGCTCGCTGCTGCGAGGTGACGCCTTGGATGGCACTGGAGCGTGGAGGACTGCTCTGGGGACATCATCTCTGCGTACTCACAGTCAAGTGACTTTCCTCTCTCCCTGGTATTTGTCATTTCAGATTTCCGCACAAGCAGGGGAGAACTGAAGGAGCTCAGACTGAATTCATGCCCTTGCACAGAGCCTATGGCGTTTCACAGCCGTGTGATTCAGGGACGGTGACATGCTGGCTGAGTCCAGGGACTTCTGGGACGCAGGAAGACAGAGCAGCTGAACCACTCAGAGCAAAGTCACCCCCAGTCAGACCCAACGCGGCTCAGCTGACACCCTCTTATCAGCGCTGTGCCAGAGCGCTCATACATCACGCACAAATCCTTGGAAAGAGCCGCAGGAACCTCGCGGAGGGGGAACGGGAGGATCAGTTGCTCTTTTACTTGTGTAAAGGATCGTTACCAAGGGTGGTGAAAAGGTTTGGACACTGAGCCAGGAGCTTGTTGACTGGATAAATTACAAACTGGAGCACTTTCAGGTGCTTCATTTTATACCACTTTGCCAACACCTCTGCTTTGAGAACTCCTCAGGAGTGGGGATTATTATTAGACTGTCTGGTCTGCCAGAGCCTGCTGGAAAAGCTGCATCTCAGCATGGAGGACTGAAGCTGCACCTCAGCATGAAGGACTGAGCCCACTGCCCCACGCGCTTGTTTTCAGAGTCACTGTTCAGATCTAGAACAGCACAATCAGATTTTTTCACTTTCTTGGCCAGGAGAGGGGTTGTGGACACCCACCCTGCAGTCCCCTCCAGAGCGGCCGCACACAGCCCCAACATGCTGGAGGTGATGGCTCACAGAGGATTATGGCAGGTGCCTGAGTTCACATCAAACTCCTTCAGTGCCAGGAAATATGAAATGCCGAGGGAGTAGGGGAAAGGAGCAGGTATGTGGCTCTACACAGGTAATAATCCGAGGAGTCTTTGCGCTTCAAACTGGTCCCATGTCCCTACTCTGAGATATCACTGAAAATTGTTCATTGATTAGCAGTGCTGATTCGCTTTCCTCCTTTATTTGGATCCATTAGTCCTATCTGGACTTCAAAAATCCTTTCCTGTGCCTCCTGTTCCTTCCTTAAGTTTTTCTCCAGTTTGCTGGCTGCACTGCACATCCCACACATCCACAGAGGTGGTATTCCTGGCTCTAGGCTAGCGCTTCTAGCACTGCATTTTAACCTGGCTCCAGCACCTCCAAGGCCATTTTTCCTCACTGTACTCTCTCTCAGCTTTTTAGAAACAGGAACAACACAGAAAAAAATGCAGCAAGTTTTGCAGTTTCTTTTGTAATTGTTTAGAAATGGTCTCAGGATGTGTATCTGTTAAACATTCCTCCCATTTTGTGTATCCCAGCTTCCTTTTGTGCTAGAAATCACAAGCTCTCACCTATTTCCAAATATCCCCTGGAAAGAATTGAGGAAATTGAATCAGAGCAACACGCTGTCACTGGAGGTGTAGCCCCTCCCCATGTTCAGGTGGAATGGACACCAGCCAGACCTTGCACCGAGCAGGCAAAGCTCTTGCACAACCAGCCGGGCTTTGGCAGGCAGCTCTTGGGGCTCTGGATCCAGGAGCTGGCACCAGCCAGGATCAAATCACACAAATGAACAAAACGGGGGAGGCGGAGGGATAGCAAAAGGCAAAGTACAAGGACAAGATGCGTTATCTCCACGATTTAGAGCGAAAAAACAAGCAAGGCAGATTCAGCTGTTGTCCAGCTCCTGCCACCCAAGGAGTCCTCTGGGGAGGTGCTTTGTCCTGGGCGCACAGAGGGGCCCAAAGGCCCCCGGTCACTGCACACAGCTTCCCTGGAGAGCGAACCTGCAGCTCAGATGGGCTTAGAGCAGGGGACACCGCGGGGAAAACAATTTAAAATCTGCTCTCAGCGCGGCCGTGCTGGAGCGAGGCGGCCGCCCATCCCTGTGTGATGCTGGCAGCGGCGGGTCACCTGGCAGGAGCTCTGAGCATGGTCCCAGCTGGTTCTTGCAGGCGGCCGTCCTTGCGAGAGCACACCATGGGTGACGCTTAACGTACCTGGGCCTTATCAAACATGCAGAAAATTGGCTCAGGACTCTCTATCATGGAGCTCCTGCATGGCAAGTATCAGTAACAAGAAAAAAAGACCTCCAGCGGCTTTATTTGCTTTGGCTCCTGCCGTGGTTTTCCTGCCCAGCAGCCCTGTCCCGAGGTTCTGCGGGGGGATGCGTGCCAAGGGCTCTGCTGCCAGGGGCTGTCGGGATCAGGCTCCTGTTTGTGACGGTTCCTCTGCTCTGCCTCTACCTGCACAGAAGCTGTGCGAGGAACTCATTGTGCTGGCAGGAGGAGGGCTGCTCTCTGCAGAGCAGGGCAAAGCTGGGGGTCAGGGACGGGGACAGCAGGCAGAGCGCAGCCCGGCTGGCAGCTGCGTGCAGGTCCCAGCAAAGGGCCCGTTGTGTTCCGGCGCCGCAGCAGCCCGGCCGGTGGCTGTGGCGAGCCGCAGGTTGCGGAGGAAGGGAAGCGGTTGGCAGCAGAGTGCGAACAGTTCTCTGCAGGCTGAGCGCTGCTGGGCGAGGAGAGAGCTGCTGTCGCTGACTCTGCCGACTGGAATGCAACAGGCTCTCCTCCTCAGCAAACTTGCCAATAAAAAATCAGGTCAGAAAAAAATATCCCCTGCAGGTGTCAGCACTGAAACTGAACGAGTTTTGGGGCAAATCTGCCTTTTCACCGCTGACACGGAGGATTTCCTGCAGGTTGGAGGAACGGAAAGTGAACGGCACCGGGCTGCTCAGCTGCTTCAGCTCAGCCCGCAGGGATGCTGTGCACGCTGTGGTTCGTGGTGTCCCTTCGAACTAAAGGGCAGGTTTGCACAGGAAACGAACGCAAAAGAGGCAGCGGGCTTGTTCCCCAAAACCAGCTGGAAGGATGTGTGAGCCTGGTCTGAGCAGCTACGTTACCTCTGTGGATGGTGCACCCAGCCAGCAAGGACAAACGACCTCCAGATACAACCAGAGCTTAACAAAGAGGGAAAAAACCAGTTCTGCAAACTGGAACCGTCCTCGTGGCTCATCCCAGGACACAGAAGGTCACAGGGACAGGAAAGCAGGGGGGGGACACAGGGACAGGAGGGAGGTCGGGAAGGTGCCGCACAGATGTGGGTGTGAATCAGTGGCTGCTTCCTTCCAAATCCTGTTTACAAATCCAAACGGAGCTACAACACGTGGTAAATGTAACCATGAACTTTACTGGAGAATCTGACATGACAGAGGAGTAGTGGAACATTAACCCTGGTGCCCAGGTCCCGCAGGAGCCCACCAAGGGCTGGCTCCTGACCCATCCCTCTACTGACGGAGCACAAACCTTCCAGCTGAGCTTGCTGCAAAGTGAAAGCCATTTCCAACGGTTTTTCCTTGTTTCAGACATACCAGCTCTGCCATACCCTCAGGAAACCTTTGCCCCTTCCATAGTGCTGTGACCTGGGAAACTCAGAACAGGGATGGAAAGGGCAGTTCTGACTGGCCCCAGTTCCTACATGGACCAAAACACCTCTGTGCTCAAGCAGATCCGGCGGTGTTGGAGCAAGAAAGAAAAGCCGACAGGGCTACAGCCAACATACCTGGAGAGGACAAGAGGGGAAAGCAGCTCACTGCAGTGTGTTTAAGATGTAGTTTTCTTCCCTTCTAAGTTGCAGAAAGGCTGTGATGTAAGTGTATTTTGTGGAATGGTGTTTCTGTATGATTTTTAGAAGAAATGCTGAAATACTACAAAAAGCCTGAACAAAATAATCCAGTTTACTTAAGGGTTTAACCCCCTAATTCTGGATGAGCTGCTTCAGGAGCTGGTTCTTGAACTGCTCCACCAGGTCAGGTGCAATCTTATCAGCGGTCAAGCTGTTGATGTTCATGATCTCTTCATGGGCTTCCTGGAAGAGCTGCTTCCCCACTGCATCTTCCACCCGCCTGCGCCACGCCGCTAACGCCGGCCGCCCCGCAAAGAGGTCGTAGCCAGCGCACACAGGCTGCAGAGAGAGAACAAGAGAACCCAGGAGGAGTCACACAACACAATTGCTGGGAATGGGACCGGAATGAAGCCGGGATATGCTTTTGGCTCAAGGAAGCAGTCAGTCACCACGTTAGGTGGAGTTCATTTCTGGTTCTCAGCGAGCAGGAAGCAAGTGGTGTCATCCTCAGCAGCTGCTGTCCGCTGGGACGTGCAGCGAACGAGCCCTGCCACAGAGCTCCACGTGCACCAGCACATCTCTTCCAAACATCTGTATTTTCTCTGCCTAGTTTGTAAATTATCTTTTTTTCTGAGGAATTTTGTCCGTACTTCTCTAGAGAGAACTGTCTCAAAGGAGGTGTTCCCTGGCAAACTCAATTATGGTCAAAGTCAAAAAGGAACAAGATTTCACCCCGCTCAGGAGGGTCCTGCCCACAGCCCAGCGCGCGTCCCACAGCGTGGGGTCGGTGCTCACCTGCATCAGCTCCACCACTGCCACCACGTCTGCCAGGGAGACCTCGCTGCCCGCAATGAAGGGCTTGTCCTGCAAGAACTTCTCCTCAAACTGCTTCAGGACAACGTTCAGCTCTTCAGTCATGCCTTCCAGTTTCTCTGGAGGAAGCGGCTGGCCTGTGATGAGAGGCAGCAGCACCTGGCAGGGAGAAGAACCAAGATGCTTTTTACGTATTTCCCTCCAAACCTAGTCCACACCCTCCCACTGCCTTCTGCTAAGGACCCCTCCCCGGCCATAGACGGGAACAGCCGGCACGGCTGCTCTCAATCAATGTCAGCCATTAGTTCCTGCCTGTCCATGTCCCCTCCCTAGAAAGTCTGAAATTTCAGCCAGCAGAGTCTCCTCTGGAGGGCAGGCTGCATCACCCGCACTGTGTTTTAGGGGAGGCTGGTTCCTCCGGTGACGGCAGTGAGCTGTGCCCACCCAGGATGCGTTTGCTCTGATCTCGGTGCGTGCACAGCGCTGTGCCTGCGCAGGAGGTGTTCACAACACGTCACTCAGACTCGGCTGAGCAGCCAAGTCAGTTCCACATCTAGTTCTGTCCCTGTCTGTCACCTGGTTTGTACCTTTGCTGGGGAGGCCCTGCACACAGGAGGCACTGCAGCTCTTAGCACTTAGGTCTTACCTTAGATAAGAACAGCTTGCTGCCCTTCCCACGGGTGTTGACGTGCTGCCACGACAGGTACTCATCAACCCTCGCCCTCTTCTGCAGGTCAGATGGGTACCAGTGATCGGGGGTCTTGTATTTCCTGGCCAGATACAGGAGGATCGCGACGCTGCAGAGAGAGGACAGGCCAGTGAGCTGATCACCGGAGAGCAAAGCAGCTCGTCCCTTCTTCTTTCCACAAATTTTGCACTGCTGGGCCAGCAGGGATATAAACCAGATCTAAGTCAGGTCTAAGTGCAGGACACACAGCTGCCAGCTGGGCACAGCACACCAGGGTTTGTGCTGGCCTGACCACTGCTTGCGGACAGAACTGTCTGACGCACCGGCCCAGTGAGGCAGTCGTGGCCCGCTGGCACCGTTACCCCATCAACATTTTTGAGCAAATAGGGGCCACAGAATGTGTTTATACCGAACCAGCTCTGCGTTGCCTGGCCAGTCAGCTGCGGGTGCCTTGCGGCAGGGTTTCCCCACTGAACCGCAGCCTCCAGCGGACGGTGGAGAGCAGGAGGACACACCGACAGGTATTCAAGCTCAAGAACATAGCCTGCACGCAAGCTAGCTCTGAACAGCGGTTCACGGGTTTTTCCACAATCAATGCTGTTTGAGTTGCTTACATGAGAAAGCCCCTCTCAAAACACAGGTTTATGTTACAAGTGGAACAGGTAGGGAGGAGGCAAACAACTGCCTGGGCTGGAGTCCCAGCAGAGAGGGAACAGTGCACCAGCAGAACCCAAGCATCAGGATAAACAGCACTGCAGCAGGAGTCGGAGCTTATCTGAGCCTCACCTCTCTGCTAAGGTGAAGGAACCGTCCCTCAACGCGGGCACCTTCATCAGGACATTCACCTTCTGGAACTCCTCCGTCCTGTGCTCCCCTGAGGAGGGAAATGGGAAGTTTTACTTGGCAGCGATGCAGGACCTGCCTGCAAACACCTGAGGAGTCGGTGGGGACCACTGCCTCACGTTCCTGGGCTTGGCTGTACAAATACAGCCTTGTTTAAGTTTATAAGCAATCAAAAAGCGCCACAGGGTGAACACGGGGCTTGCCCTATGATGTCAGCCTAGTTACTTATTGCCTGCATACCAGAGCTACCTCTCGACAGAAGGTCAGGATGGTTCAGAGTCCTTCCATACCAACAGCACTTGTCAGCCCAGGGCTCTATCAGCTCTGGCTCTGTGCCTGGAGGTACCTGTCCTGGACAAACCCAGAGTGAACACTGAGCTCCTTGGAGGAAAGGAATCTCCATATCAGAAACATGAAGCAGAAGAATCATGAAAAAGCAAGGGATTATTTTTTTTTTTCTGGAAGATAATGTAATTTATATTCCACTCTCTTTTTAGTCCTCAGGTGAAAATAAATTTCTATGATTCCATATAAAGCCATGGGTACTTTATTACAGCTCTATCAATCAGCTCTTTATGTGGGTTTTATATATCCTTTATCAGAGCACTGATATATGAATGAGCTGGCTTTTAAGCTATTTTTTACCCCCCAAAAGGTAAGCAGAGTCAAAGTGACAGGATAAAGTGCTTTTCTCATTTGAGGTCTCAGCATGCTCCATCATGTTTGAACCCAATCCCAGGAGCCTTGTTGTATGTGACTTGCTCGTGCCAGCCTTTTCCAGCCGCTGGCTTCACTCACACGTGTACCTGTGTGCTCAAACTTCTCTAATGTCTGTGCCATGTCCTGCTACATGAGCCATCTGAGAATCTCTGTGCTAGAGGAGATGCTCTGGAAGTGGTTTTAGTTTTCCTAGGACTTGGCAAACCTGATTTGTGGCTATTCCTCTGTCACTTGGCTCACAGCCTGTCCCCGCCACCTCCTTTCAAAGAGGCACTGGGATTTCCTGCACACGGGGTGCAGATTCCAGGGACTCTGCTGTCCCTGGAGAGTCGTGTGATTTCTATCCGTTCTCTCCCTTTCCACCAATTTCCTTGAGACCTACCCTGCTGGGGCCCAAGAGCTTTTCTGGGGGAACACGTTTAGCCTGTCAGCTCAGATCCGAGTGTATGTTCCTCCCTTGGTCTGTACATCCCGTGCAGTGTCGGGTGCCCATTGCCCTCTGCCGAGCAGCTGGATGCGGAGCTCACCCAGATGTGGGTACCAGAGGCTCAGCCGGATGCTTCCCCACGGCACGGGAGGTGCACACACCTTCAGCATTCCCATAAGCCAAATTGCCCGTCCTAAATCCACTGACCAAAAGCAAGCACTGAAGCCACGGGGCACAGAGTGCTGGGAAACTGGGATTTAATTAACTTTCCCTCCCGTCAGCTCCCTGATAGCTGTATTTCACCTGTTCCCTTCTCCTTGATGCTCTCACTGCATGCCTGCCAAGCTCTTCTCCTTTGCACCAGCGTCTCACCACAACAGGTTATTTACTGGGAAGGAAGGGGAAGGACAGTAGATGAGCCTGCCCCCAGCTACAAAAAACAGCATTAATTTTTTCCTGCCAAGGCAGGTCAGAGGGAAGCCGCAGTGAGGTGCAGTCAACGCGCAGCTGAGGTGTGCAGGGGAACACCCAGAGACCAAACCACAACACGCCCGAGGTCTCTTTGTGTCACAAGCTGGAGCCTGCTTTGCTACTTTATCAATTTCAGCCCCAGGAGCCTTCTCATCTTTCATGGTTTTAAGCACTACTTACAGTGGTGGTTTTACACCCAACACATTACCTTCATTTCAAACCCAGCAGAGCTCTGGAAGGGTTGAGGGACAGATTTTACCAGCTTCAGTTACCAAGAAAGAAGATACAGATCTTTGGGCACCTTTGGCAAAAACACATGATACCTCCTGGGCAAGCTCCTATCGCTTACCAGTTGGTTTTAAGCCAGCCTAAAACACCTTCCCTTCCTCATTTCTCATCGTTCAGATCCCCGACGGCTGCGCTGTCTCACTCCGCTGCCTTCACTTCTCTGCTCCTCAACCCTCTCAAAATAACCCCACCACAACCAGTGCCACCTGAGGAAGTCCCCAGAGGGGTGGCTGGCTGTCCCGCCCTGCTGCACAGGGGGACATCAGCACGCTCTGTGCGCAAGGGTCCTTCCCAAGGGGCTGCAACCCTGCTAAAAGCAGAAAAGCTGCAGCAACAGCTGCTCTTGCCGGAGAACAAAGTTTTCTAAGGAAGCTGAGTTAGAGAGCAAGACCCACACACCTCGCCCGTCCTCGCCCACACCTGAACTGCTGCTATTTGTTTCCCAGCTAAGCAGGGCAAGCCCTCAGACCGAGCACACCCTCAGCACTTCAGCTCAGCAAACTGTTCCCTTTTCCAGAGCCACATGTTCTGCTGGGGTGGGGCCGATACAACAGATACCACCGGGCGGCGAGACTGCTACTTCAAAATCTGCCTTTCCTTTAGAAAACCAGCTCCTGTTTGCATCCTGCATCAGGACCTTTTTGCA